CAAATAAAACAAATATATATGTGTACATACAAAAGAATGGGGGTGGTAGGAGAAGATAATATTAGTGTTCAGTGAGAAACCACAACGTCTTCTCTGAATACTTTTTATTTTCTTCTCCGAGGCTATGAGTCCCCACATTGGCACCAGAGGTGGTACCCTCACAAACTTTATATGTATATATTTATAAACTTTACATAAATATATATATATATATATATATATATATATATATATATATATATATATATATATATATATATATATATATATATATATATATATATATAAATATATAAATTATATAATATATATAAATATATAAATTATATATATATATAAATATATATTATATATATATATATATATATATATATATATATATATATATATATATATATATATATATATATGTATATATACATATATAATAATATAATATATATAATTATATATATATATTATATGTATATATATATATATATATATATATATATATATATATATATATATATATATATATATATATATACATATATATATACTATATATATATATATACCTATATATATATATATATATATATATATATATATATATATATATATATATATATATATATATATATATAGTATATATATATATCTCTTTGAACTCGAAACGAAGCTAGAGAATGAGGCATAAGAGATATGCCACCAGACTGGTCCAAGAGCTGAGAAGATTGAGCTACGAGGAAAGACTAGAGGAACTTCAGCCTTCAGAGAGATAGCCATCAGGAAGATAGCCCCAGGAAGATAGCCCCCAGGAAGATAGCCCCCAGGAAGATAGTCCCCAGGATGAAAACCCCCAGGAAGATAGCCCTCAGAAAGATAGCACTCAGGAAGATAGTCCTCAGAAAGATAACCCCAGGAAGATAGCCCTCAGGAAGATAGCCCCAAGGAAGATAGGCCTCAGGTAGATAGCTTTCAGGAAGATAGCCATCAGGAAGATAGCCATCAGAAAGATAGCCTTCAAAAAGATAGCCCTCAGAACGATAGCCCCCCAGGAAGATAGCCCTCAGGAAGATAGCCCCCAGGAAGATAGCCCTCAGGAAGATAGCCATTAGGAAGATAGCCCTCAGGAAGATAGCCACTCAGGAAGATAGCCCTCAGGAAGATGGCCCTCAGGAAGATAGCAACCCAGGAAGATAGCCCCAAGGAAGACAGCCCTCAGAAAGATAGCCAACTCATCTACATATCAACAGGTGACACTTACCTGATATACTACACAAGGTAAACTTTGAAAAACAAACTGAAAAGTAAAATTTGAACTGAAAATTTTGGAAAGTATACTTTGAAAAGTAAGCCTTCAAATGTAACCTTTTACAGTTAAAGTGTGGAAGGTAAACTTTGAAAATCAAAGGTAAACTTTGAAAATCAAAGGTAATCTTTGAAAGGGAAATTTTGAAAGGTAAACTGTGAAAGTTTCACATATAAAAAAAAATCACAAATATTGAAAGTGTAATTATTAATTATTGGGTGAGCAGTTCGGACGGCGAGGCTTAGTTCTATACAAACTAATTATTAATCACTGAATCAGTAAATTCAATAATTTGTATTGGGTCAGATGGTAATTAAAATATAGAACTATTTATAATATATTACTAAACGTTACCGTTATTCAGTATTATTTGGCCGATTCGTTAGCGGCCAAGAAGAGAATATAGGAACAGCACCACATACATATATATATATATATATATATATATATATATATATATATATATATATATATATATATATATATATATATATATATATATATATAACTGAAAACTCACACCCCAGAAGTGACTCGAACCCATACTCCCAGAAGCAACTGGTATGTACAAGACGCCTTAATCCACTTGACCATCACGACCGGACAAAATGAGGTGATAGCCGAGGCTATTTGAACCACCCCACCGCCGGCACTCGGATAGTTATCTTGGGCATAGCATTTTACCAAATCACCTCATTCTTAGGGGCACACGTGAGGAACACAAATGCGAACAAGCCAGAATGGTCCCCTGGACAATATGCAACTGAAAACTCACACCCCAGAAGTGACTCGAACCCATACTCCCAGAAGCAACTGGTATGTACAAGACGCCTTAATCCACTTGACCATCACGACCGGACAAAATGAGGTGATAGCCGAGGCTATTTGAACCACCCCACCGCCGGCACTCGGATAGAAATATTATAAATACATATTATAAATATGTTCAATATACAAATATTGAACTCGGGTGGTTCAAATAGCCTCGGCTATCACCTCATTTTGTCCGGTCGTGATGGTCAAGTGGATTAAGGCGTCTTGTACATACCAGTTGCTTCTGGGAGTATGGGTTCGAGTCACTTCTGGGGTGTGAGTTTTCAGTTGCATATTGTCCAGGGGACCATTCTGGCTTGTTCGCATTTGTGTTCCTCACGTGTGCCCCTAAGAATGAGGTGATTTGGTAAAATGCTATGCCCAAGATAACTATCCGAGTGCCGGCGGTGGGGTGGTTCAAATAGCCTCGGCTATCACCTCATTTTGTCCGGTCGTGATGGTCAAGTGGATTAAGGCGTCTTGTACATACCAGTTGCTTCTGGGAGTATGGGTTCGAGTCACTTCTGGGGTGTGAGTTTTCAGTTGCATATTGTCCAGGGGACCATTCTGGCTTGTTCGCATATATATATATATATATATATATTATATGCGAACAAGCCTGAATGGTCCCCAGGACTATATGCAACCTCTCTTCCCACAACCAAACCATCGCCAGAGAAATCCTAGTAAACAACACAGAAATCATCGATAGTTACTGCGATAGCAGACGGCTTGACGTTTGCGAGGCACTACACATTAAGAAGTCAACACCAGCAATCAACAGCCAATTAATGCACAACTATATTCTACCCACCTCAAGACTCCGCTCCAGTATAGAAGCATCAAGAAATATGGACCAATAGGCTTTCTACAATCACTTCCATTTAATACCCATTGTTTCGTGTTCTGTCTTTTGTTGGAATTTAATACCCATTCAATACATATTGTTTCGTGTTCTGTCTTGTGTTGGAATTTAATACCCATTGAATACCCATTGTTGAAAGTTCGTTTTTCACCTCATCCACCTCACCCAAATGTAGATATAAACCTCGAAGATGTGTAAGCTCTATTCAGTTTCAGTTGTGTGTTTGTAAACTAAAGTCTTTGAAAATGTAATAAGTTTTACGAAACGCGCTCATGTGTCGCGTCAGACTAAAAATAAAAATGAATTTTGGAGAATTGATCTTTGAATTACCATCAACAGTGAAAAGAAACGTAAGAAATATAGAGAAAATTCGTGTTAGAATTATTAATCTTACTTTTTCGGTCATATTTAATAATATATGTCTACAGGAAAGACTGCTACCAAAATATACTAATATATATATATATATATATATATATATATATATATATATATATATATATATATATATATATATATATATATATATATATATATATATATATATATATATATATAACTGAAAACTCACACCCCAGAAGTGACTCGAACCCATACTCCCAGGAGCAACGCAACTGGTATGTACAAGACGCCTTAATCCACTTGACCATCACGACCGGACATAATGAGGTGATAGCCGGGGCTATTTGAACCACCCCACTGCCGGCACTCGGATAGTAATCTTGTCCTGGGGACCATTCAGGCTTGTTCGCATATATATATATATATATATATATATATATATATATATATACTATATATATATATATATATATATATATATATATATGTATGTATATATATATCCTTATTTATTTAACCATGAGGACCACATTTAGGCTAGTTGCCTAAGTTTACATTGTGTGAAATTTTAAATTACTCACCACTGCTCTGTAATTACTCCCTCACACACACACAGAGGTCAAATGCAACATTATACCTGCCAACTGTCCATGGTGTATCCATAAAGTTAGACATTATAATAACTTTGTTAACTGTACCACCTTCTATATAGTCATATATACCCAGTATATTCCAATGTTTTCTCTTACATTACCGAACACAATATTTATATTTACTGAATATGTATTCTATATGAGCTTTTCTATAATAAAATACGTAGTTTAAATTATAATAACTTCATGATGGGCTATTTTATGCACAGTTACCTGGAGTAATAAACACCAAATAGTGTGTATAAGCAAGGTAGAATATAATCAAGGTAGATTATAATCAAGGTAGATTATAATCAAGGTAGATTCTCGGTAGAACACAATCTTCGGACCCTTCATGTTTTACTTGGTCTTATTAAAGACCGCCAGCTTACAAGACATGCTCATAACTCTCTCAAACAACCGTAGATTATATGTTGCTCGTTTGACATTCCGGTGAGGCACGCCCAGCTGGTTCGTGGGACTGTCACTGTCAATAGCCAGCTGGTACATGGGGCTGTCATTGTCCATACCCTGCTGGTACATGGGGCTGTCATTGTCCATACCCAGCTGGTACATGGGTCTGTCATTATCAATACCCTGCTGGTACATGGGTCTGTCATTGTCAATAGCCAGGTGGTACTTGGGGCTGTCATTGTCAATACCCAGCTGGTACATGGGTCTGTCATTGTCAATAGCCAGGTGGTACATGGGTCTGTCATTGTCAATACCCAGCTGGTACATGGGGCTGTCATTGTCAATACCCAGCTGGTACATGGGTCTGTCATTGTCAATAGCCAGGTGGTACATGGGTCTGTCATTGTCAATAGCCAGGTGGTACATGGGGACTGTCATTGTCAATAGCCAGCTGGTACATGGGTCTGTCATTGTCAATACCCTGCTGGTACATGGGTCTGTCATTGTCAATATCCAGGTGGTACATGGGTCTGTCATTATCAATACCTTGCTGGTACATGGGTCTGTCATTGTCAATACCCTGCTGGTACATGGGTCTGTCATTGTCAATAGCCAGGTGGTACATGGGTCTGTCATTGTCAATAGCCAGGTGGTACATGGGGACTGTCATTGTCAATAGCCAGCTGGTACATGGGTCTGTCATTGTCAATACCCTGCTGGTACATGGGTCTGTCATTGTCAATATCCAGGTGGTACATGGGTCTGTCATTATCAATACCTTGCTGGTACATGGGTCTGTCATTGTCAATAGCCAGGTGGTACATGGGACTGTCATTGTCAATACCCATCTGGTACATGGGTCTGTCATTGTCAATACATTGCTGGTACATGGGTCTGTCATTGTCAATAGCCAGGTGGTACATGGGGCTGTCATTGTCAAGACCCTGCTGGTACATGGGTCTGTCATTGTCAATAGCCAGCTGGTACATGGGTCTGTCATTATCAATACCCTGCTGGTACATGGGTCTGCCATTGTCGATAGCCAGGTGGTACATGGGGCTGTCATTGTCAATACCCAGCTGGTACATGGGTCTGTCATTGTCAATACCCTGCTGGTACATGGGTCTGTCATTGTCAATAGCCAGGTGGTACATGGGGCTGTCATTGTCAATACCCAGCAGGTACATGGGTCTGTCATTGTCAATACCCTGCTGGTACATGGGTCTGTCATTGTCAATAGCCAGGTGGTACATGGGGCTGTCATTGTCCATACCCAGCTGGTACATGGGTCTGTCATTATCAATACCCTGCTGGTACATGGGTCTGTCATTGTCAATACCCAGGTGGTACATGGGGCTGTCATTGTCCATACCCAGCTGGTACATGGGTCTGTCATTGTCAATACCTTGCTTGTACATGGGTCTGTCATTGTCAATAGCCAGGTGGTACATGGGGCTGTCATTGTCAATACCCAGCTGGTACATGGGGCTGTCATTGTCAATACCCAGCTGGTACATGGGTCTGTCATTGTCAATTGCCAGCTGGTACATGGGTCTGTCATTGTCAATACCCTGCTGGTACATAGGTCTGTCATTGTCAATAGCCAGGTGTTACATGGGGCTGTCATTGTCCATACCCAGCTGGTACATGGGTCTGTCATTATCAATACCCTGCTGGTACATGGGTCTGTCATTGTCAATAGCCAGGTGGTACATGGGGCTGTCATTGTCAATACCCAGCTGGTACATGGGTCTGTCATTGTCAATACCTTGCTGGTACATGGGTCTGTCATTGTCAATAGCCAGGTGGTACATGGGGCTGTCATTGTCAATACCCAGCTGGTACATGGGGCTGTCATTGTCAATACCCAGCTGGTACATGGGGACTGTCATTGTCAATACCCAGCTGGTACATGGGGCTGTCATTGTCAATACCCAGCTGGTACATGGGGCTGTCATTGTCAATACCCAGCTGGTACATGGGTCTGTCATTGTCAATACCTTGCTGGTACATGGGTCTGTCATTGTCAATAGCCAGGTGGTACATGGGGCTGTCATTGTCAATACCCAGCTGGTACATGGGGCTCTCATTGTCAATACCCAGCTGGTACATGGGTCTGTCATTGTCAATACCCTGCTGGTACATGGGTCTGTCATTGTCAATACCCAGCTGGTACATGGGTCTGTCATTGTCAATAGCCAGGTGGTACATGGAGCTGTCATTGTCAATACCCAGCTGGTACATGGGGCTGTCATTGTCAATACCCAGCTGGTACATGGGGCTGTCATTGTCAATACCCAGCTGGTACATGGGGCTGTCATTGTCAATTCCCAGCTGGTATACAGGACTGTCATTCTCAATATCAGTCTCTTTGTACACAGAACGGATAGAATTTCTATATTTTATCTGATATAAAGTTTATATACTCCCCTCCCCTTGACCTGAGGAGGTTGGGGTGTCATAGCACTTGTGCATTTCTAACATTTGTGGTCGACGAGGTTTGGCAATTTTCTAATTATTTCCAGTTTATATATATTTTTTACCACATACGCGTTCAGGTGGATGTATTTTCCTATTTGTGGCTGCATAATCGAGTTGTTAGCTCTTGGACCCCGCCTTTCTAACTGTCGGTTGTCAACTGTACTGATTCCCAACCTGTTTTTCTCTATCTACTATTTATATTCTTCTCTGTCACACACACAAATCCCCAGGATTTTGCCTGTATCAAATATCTAGCTACCAGGCAACTATTTGCTGCTAGGAGAACAGAGACATCAGGTAAAAGAAACTCTGCCCATTTGTTTCTGCCTCGCCCGGGAATCGAATCAAAACCGACTACAACTCCTGAGCGCTGTTCGCTCGGCCGCGAGGACCTGTGTGGTGTAGGTTAGTTTCTGAGGGAGGAACCGCGAGGCTCTGGCAGTGGAGGTGTGGCGCTTTTATGGGTGGTGGAGGTGTAGGTGTAGAGAAGTGGAGGTGTAGTGAGGTGGAGGTGTAGTGAGCTGGAGGTGTAGTGAGGTGGAGGTGTAGTGAGGTGGAGGTGTAGTGAGGTGGAGGTGTAGTGAGATGGAGGTGTAGTGAGGTGGAGGTGTAGTGAGGTGGAGGTGTAGTGAGGTGGAGGTGTAGTGAGGTGGAGGTGTAGTGAGGTGGAGGTGTAGGGACGTGGAGGTGTATTGAGGTGGAGGTGAATTGAGGTGGAGGTGTAGAGAGGTGGAGGTGTAGTGAGGTGGAGGTGTAGTGAGGTGGAGGTGTAGTGAGGTGGAGGTGTAGTGAGGTGGAGGTGTAGTGAGGTGGAGGTGTAGTGAGGTGGAGGTGTAGTGAAGTGGAGGTGTAGTGAGGTGGAGGTGTAGAGAAGTGGAGGTGTAGTGAGGTGGAGGTGTAGGGACGTGGAGGTGTAGTGAGGTGGAGGTGTAGTGAAGTGGAGGTGTAGTGAGGTGGAGGTGTAGAGAAGTGGAGGTGTAGTGAGGTGGAGGTGTAGGGACGTGGAGGTGGAGGTGTAGTGAAGTGGAGGTGTAGTGAAGTGGAGGTGTAGTGAGGTGGAGGTGTAGTGAAGTGGAGGTGTAGTGAAGTGGAGGTGTAGTGAGGTGGAGGTGTAGTGAAGTGGAGGTGTAGTGAAGTGGAGGTGTAGTGAGGTGGAGGTGTAGGGACGTGGAGGTGTAGTGAGGTGGAGGTGTAGTGAAGTGGAGGTGTAGTGAGGTGGAGGTGTAGGGACGTGGAGGTGTAGTGAGGTGGAGGTGTAGTGAAGTGGAGGTGTAGTGAGGTGGAGGTGTAGTGAGGTGGAGGTGTAGTGAGGTGGAGGTGTAGTGAGGTGGAGGTGTAGTGAGGTGGAGGTGTAGTGAAGTAGAGGTGTAGTGAAGTGGAGGTGTAGTGAAGTAGAGGTGTAGTGAAGTAGAGGTGTAGGGAAGTAGAGGTGTAGTGAAGTGGAGGTGTAGTGAAGTGGAGGTGTAGTGAAGTGGAGGTGTAGTGAAGTAGAGGTGTAGGGAAGTAGAGGTGTGAAGAGATGACGTAGGCAGGCGGAGGTGTAGAGAGAGGGAGGTGCAGAAACACTTGAGGTGTAGCAATAACACAGGGAAAACCACACCCACAGGTGGAGTGGGGGAGGGGGAAGCGTTCGCAGCACCTACAAGGAGAAGCCATCGACCAGCCGCTTGCAATATGCAACATATAGCACATTGCTTCCCCATTCTGACATTAGTGAGTGCACATCACTGTCACACGAGGCGGCCCTGGCACCCAGTTAACGACATGGCGGCCCTGGCACCCAGTTAACGACATGGCGGCCCTGGCACCCAGTTAACGACATGGCGGCCCTGGCACCCAGTTAACGACATGGCGGCCCTGGCACCCAGTTAACGACATGGCGGCCCTGGCACCCAGTTAACGACATGGCGGCCCTGGCACCCAGTTAACGACATGGCGGCCCTGGCACCCAGTTAACGACATGGCGGCCCTGGCACCCAGTTAACGACATGGCGGCCCTGGCACCCAGTTAACGACATGGCGGCCCTGGCACCCAGTTAACGACATGGGAGCCCTGGCACCCAGTTAACGACATGGCGGCCCTGGCACCCAGTTAACGACATGGCGGCCCTGGCACCCAGTTAACGACATGGCGGCCCTGGCACCCAGTTAACGACATGGCGACCCTGGCACCCAGTTAACGACATGGGAGCCCTGGCACCCAGTTAACGACATGGCGGCCCTGGCACCCAGTTAACGACATGGCGGCCCTGGCACCCAGTTAACGACATGGGAGCCCTGGCACCCAGTTAACGACATGGCGGCCCTGGCACCCAGTTAACGACATGGGAGCCCTGGCACCCAGTTAACGACATGGGAGCCCTGGCACCCAGTTAACGACATGGCAGCTCACACCACCGATCCCACCAAGACATCAACATAAAAGATATATCTTATGTTGATACATCAGCGTCCCCGTAGCACAGTAGGGTTCGCTCTCAACGCACAATCGAGAAATCCGGATTCAAATCCCCCTGCGGGATAGAAATGCTTGGGTACCATTTCACCTAATGCCTCTGTTCACCTAGCAGTGAGTAGGTACTCAGGAGTTAGTCAGCTTGTTGTGGGGTTGCAACCTGGGCAGGGGTCAGTAATTCAACCTTAAGGAGGGGCAGGGGGGGTACAGGGGGGGCGGACAGGGGGGCAGGGGGGGTACAGGGGGGGCAGGGGGGGCCTCGATAAAAGCCAATACAAATACACTCTGGCTCCTTGTCCCCCGACACAGTGAATTATTATTAAATGATTAAAAGCGTTGGGAGTATTGATGTTAGATAAAAGATAATTCCGCAATTAAATACATCATTACGAATGCAGGGAATCGAACCTAAGAGAGGTGGAGTCAGTTTAACATCACTGACTCAGCCAATTACGAGGGAATGGGGTCAAGCCAGAATGACTAAACAACACTTGAGAGAGATATGAGATCAGGATATAACCTTGGATATAAGAATGGAACACGATCTAAGACATGAGGCAGGATAAGTAAGACCAGTGACTTGGGGGCAGGATAGGACCTGTGATATCAGAACAGAATAGGGGCTAGGACATAAAGAAGGAAACATGAGCTGAGACATGAGGACAAGCAAGGAGCTGGGATGTGAAAATGGTGCCCAGTCTCTACTACTTTCCTCGTACCGACCAATCCAAATGGAAGGACTTAGGGAACACTGGAATAAAACATTCAGTATTCTGGCTGACTTCAGCTGTCATGCGCATGAAGATTAAGACATGATAGCAAGAAGCAGCAACATTACGACAGGTAAATGAGAGATATTATTGATAGTGATTATTGAAGAGGTTTCTTCATTTCCCCATTAGCATGAGCTTACCACAATGCGGCATTCATCATGCATATATTACCATGCAAGACTCCACATGCAAAACTGTTTTGAGTCATGAGTCTTTGTACACACACGTACACACACAAACGAGCCCCTAGCTCACCTCATCATGCTGTGAAGGAAAGACGGTAAGACGCTTTTCGTCCTATTTCTGCAACAGAGGCCTGCCGCCCTTTGAATATTTACGCTTCCGGGCATAGACGCATTCATGCGTCGACCGTTCAAACACGCTTGGGCATAGAACTATTTAACAGGAGTAGTCCGAAAATTGTTCCATAGAAGTGTGTCTGGCACAGTTTCAAAGAAGGTAGTTTAGAACTGTTTCACAGGAGTGTATAAAGAACTATCCCAGAAGCGGGTCTAGGACTTTCACAGGAGCATGTCTATAACAGTTTCATAAGCGAGGGCCTACAACCTAACTCCATACTAGGAACAAATGGGTAGTGCATATTTGAGAAGATATGTCTAAGGAGGTTAGACAGACAGGAAAGAAAATTTTGGGAGAAATATGAACAACACAAATGCAATGAAACCAGAAAACTACACAAACAATGGAGATTAGCAGCAAATCTGACAGTAGAGACTACTACAGAGGTAAACAGTAGAGCTGTAAACAGAAGAGGCCGCAGTAGAGCTGCCTCTCTTAATGGTGCCCCCATGCCAAGAAGAAAAATAAGGGATTGACTAGTTTTCCATGAGATCTTTACCCCTATTATAAATGGAAATACGCCAACAGGAACAACGATCTCACGAGAAAGACAATTCCAGTTCAGTTGCATTAAGCACAAAAATTGTATGCACAAATGCAGATCAAATTACAAATAAAGAGGGTGAGTTATTGGAAAGAGTGGAAGAAAGGAACCATATATAATCGTGATCACAGAAACGAAACTGACAAGTGTTATTGCAATCTTCTGAAGAAGATTAAATCAGGAAACATAGGATGAACAGCGGAGATAGTGTAGCATGTTGCTACACCTAGAATCTGGCTCTTTGAGCAAGTCAAATTATCAGAAAAAAAAACACCAGAAAGAGTACACATTAGGAGCAGCTACAGTCCAATACACGAACATAGTGGTAGCGCTGATTTACAACCCTCTACCAAACAATAGATGGCGTATGGGAAAATGCTACAATTACAGTTTTTGCCTGAAGGTTTTTTAGCAACAGCTAAAATCCCAAAAGAAGATAATGTTAATCACTTGGATGAGGAATGAATAAATGAGGACTCCTCGGTCACAGGAATGATGAGACACAGAACACGCCTGGTATATGTGGTGGACAAACATTTCTCAAGCACCATATTAAAGAACCAGAAAGTGTAGGCGAGGACTCACCAGCACCACTAAACCTGGTATTTTCCCCCAAACCGGAGCAGATGATGAAAAGATAGAGTATAAGATGCCTCTACAATCTACCCACCACTACAGTATCATCCTTGAGTACATA